ACATTGGTTATTTTTTAAATTTTTTTTAACTAATAACCTGGTTAACTCAGATGTGCTTTTATGCTGAGTAAGAGATAGAGTCACTGAAACTTTTGTCTAGGGTGTTCATTTATATGGATCAATTTAGATCATTATTATAACTTAATTATAACTTAAATCTTAGAGTAGCTCTTAAACAATTGTTATTTGTATGAGATTGGTATGTTTAGGCACTCTTTGGCTTGAATTTTATACATACAAGGGAAAAAAATAGAACAGGTCAATGCCAATATCCTTGACCCTTAACAGTATTTTTTCTTTTTCTCCTACTTCACCAGTTAACTGCCACATGTCCAAAATGGAAACCATCCCACATACCACAATATTTTTAATTTAATTTTAAAAATCATTTTGCGATGAATATTATAAAAAATAAATATATTAATCACAATTTGGATGTTCTTGAATATTTTCAGCGGAAAATTCTCATGAAAAATGATTTTAAAGTTGGTCAGGGCTGCCACTTAGGGAAAACATTTTTTTTTTTTTATAGATGCACATGGCGTGTTGGGATGGTCTGCCTCTTCCGTCTACAGACACTTATGGCATACCACGGGTTAATTTATGTGCTTCACCACCTTTGTTCCTAAATAGCAAAATTTAAGTCAGCTAAAATTTTGGAGGTTGCCATCTTACAATAGTCATATGAATATGAACGGATCATGTATTTCCTATAACTTAAAAAAAAAGATACATGAAACACGAGAGATACATGAAACACCAGAGCAGAGGCATAATAATTTATTTTGAGATATTGAGGGAACCTGCCTGACTTAGAAATTATTAGAGATATTTTATGTTCACTATTGTTTCAGAGTTAAGAATAGTTTATGTTCTAATTCTTTCAAAAATTGATTAGTAATAAGATATTGAAGTGAAATATGAATTTTCTATGGGTAAGGGAAAAAATGAACTGAGGTTAATTTAGGAAGGAAAGTTTCATACATATAACTTAAACATAGCATGCTATTCAAACTTAGAAAAATTTAAAAAGGAATCCCTGAGAAACTCTTAAAAGTAACAGAATACAGCATCTCCCACTACATTTCAGAATGCCAAGATAGCAACAGTTTATCTTTATGTCATTTAATACAGCTATTTTTAAAATGTATATTTAGCAACGTAATATATCGTCTCTCATATCTAGAATTGATCAAAATCTGAAACTAGGCTAAATTATTTTCAGTGTTATAAATATCAGATCGGCTTTGGAAATAGGTTGTTTGTGAGGCACAGAGAGTTCCATCTCTAAATAAAGACGGTGCGTTGTCTGCGGCTAACTTTAGCAGGACGAGGGGAAAACGGGCATCCAGAGTTATTTAGAGCACAGGAGAGGCATTGTCACTGAAGAGAATCATAGAAGGTTGGTGGCAAAGAGGTCCTGAAGGTTCTCTATTCACTGTAATGTCATCATTTTTTTAATGAAATTAAACATAAAGCAAATGCGTCAAAATACACAATAGGCCAGGGCTGTGAAGGATCAGATAGAGAGGAGACCTGGAATTTAAACAGAAAGGGGTTGGAGGTAGAAGAATAAAAAGATACAAAACTCTGTGCTAGCACATGTCAACTGAAGGTCTGAAAGAAGCTACTGGCAGTGCCATCTAGACTATGTTTTTCTTCTCAGATAGTCAGGAAAGTGGTGGTTTGCCTCCTGCATGAAAGTGGCCCCTATGCCAGGAAAGCATCCTAAAGCCATCCCGGAGTGCTTAGTGCTCTTAGCATCCCCAAATTAACAGATGCCCACTTCAGCTGAACAGTGGTGACATTACTTTTTGTTGTTGTTATTGTTTGTGTTTTATTTTTTTGTTAATCCTTCCCTGAGGATATTTTTCCCATTGATTTTTTAGAGAATGGAAGAGATGGGGAGAGAGAGAGTAACATTGAAATGAGAGAGACACATCAATTAGTTGCCTCCCTCAAAAGCCCCCACTGGGCCAGAGATGGAACCTGGAACCTAGGTACATGCCCTTGACCCTTGACAGGAATCAAACCTGGGACCCTCAGTCCATGGGCCAATGCTCTAACCACTGAGCAAAACCAGCTAAGGCAGTTGTGACATTACTTTTTAGAGAAGCAGGTGTGTGTGTGGGGGTGGGGGGGCGGGCTTTCCTCTTACTAATTCCTTAATTCAAAGTAATTTCATGGCACAAGCAGAAACCTCGTCTACACGGGCAGCCTGTCTCCAAATGCGTGGCCGAAAACAAATACTTTTCTGTTTATAGAAAGCACAAGTGCCCAGGCTTTGAGAGGTAGTGGAGAAAGGAGTGAGCCCGTCGAGAAAAACGAGGTGCAGAAAAATAGTCCAGAACCTCTGAAATAAATTACACCATTGCATACTTTTGACACTGTTTATCTTGAACCCTATGCAGACAAATGAAGTTTATGCAGACTTTCTCATGAGCAGTCATGCGGGCCCGGCTATTTCCATAAACATTCCTTGGAGTAGAATAAAATCCACCAGCTGATGAATACATTATTCATTTTTTATTTCGATTATCCAGGCACAGGTCACATTTTTATAAAGTAACTTTGTTCTCCAAAGACAGGTAGACAGAGATAGGATGGTGACCAGAGAACTTTTAAGGAAACCTTCGGCCCTATGAGAGCCAAAAAGTCTTCACGTTTTAGCACCAATAAGTGCTAAGATTTCTGTTAGGAGTCGGAAGCATGTGACCCAGAGGTGAAATGAGCAAAGTTCCCTGAGGGGTCCTAGTGTCTGGTGGGAGACAGGAGGTAGCCTGCCTTTTGGTTCTTGCAGGACAGGGTTTGTTGGAGTGCCTGCCAGTGTGCTGGCCCCCCTTTGTGGATCGTGTGCATGATTTAAAAGAAGCTTTGTCAGCACTGATTTATACTTTGACAGCTAAGGATATTAAGCTATAGGCAAACGTACCGCTCACCCTTTTACAGATTAACCTGGGGACTGCATTAGGCAAATTTGAGAGCATTAAAAGATTTTGCCAATTTGTCTGGAAACAATTTCTCTTTTGTCGTGTGTCAAGGGTAACACTTCTTGCCATTGTCCTCTCTTAAATGGCTTTGATGAATCGTCCTGGAGGTTAGAGAATCGTCGTGCAGATATATATTTAGTGCTTTAAAATAAAAAGGTTATTCACTTCATTGTTAAATGAATTTAATCTGTAAAAATCAAACGGGCTCAAGAATGTGTTTCCTTGGAACTGCAGCCGCTGAATTGTATCCTGGGTCTGATACAATCTTCTTGAAGATAAAATCATACTTCTGCATTACTTCCCAATAAGTGAAATGCTTTGGGCTATCACAGCAGCATGAATGGTGGCTGTTATTTGGGGGAAGCCTTCATTGACAAAAGCAATAAAATTGCATCTTCTCCGGAGTTTGCCTGCTTTTTAATATGGCATGCCCTAGATTGTACTGTTTGCAAGACATCCAAAGAGTCTCCTGTATGATCTTGTCCCCTGGAGACCTTCGTAAAATGAGATGCATATTTCATGAGACATTCTGGAGGTACATAATTTCCAAAGTGAGGAATTCAAAGAGGCCCCTCTGAATTCGCTCCTTGCACCTTTCCGCCCCCAGTCGTTTTATGAGAGAAATGGTGATTCTGTGGGAATGTTGAAACAGTTGTCGTAAGAACAGACCTCAGATATGAATAGGCCCTTTGGGTGACTTCTGAGCTGGGAACAAGGACAAGAGGCATCGTACTCTGATCACAGTCCTGCCCCTGCACAGCTTCACGTGGAGCTGACAGCCCCTCTGATTATTTCATCAAATATCCCGCATCTATCCTGAGTGCAGCATTGCAATACTTTCCCTTCGCTGGAATAATAATATCGCTAAGCACCAAGCTACTAGATTTAAACACTGCTTATTAGAGAGAGGTGGGGGGGAAAGAAAGAATAGAAAAGGTAGGATTTACTACTTAACCATTCTTTTTAACCAAGTAAATTCCTTTGTGTTGTCAATAAGAAAGTTTTAATTCCAAAAACAAGTGGCAGGAAAAAGCAGGCTTAACCAAGTTTGGAGCAGCCTATTATTTTTTCCCCCTCCAATCTTTGAACTTGAACAAACCACAAGAAAAGATTCATTTGGTTCAATTTTGGGTTATTTACAAGGAACTGATACAGCCTTTTAACTTTTCACCTTAGGTATAGGTAGTGTTTTCAGGATGCTGCTGCAGTCTATGTTTTGTATTGGTTTAGGCTGAAAGAAACATCTTGGAGAAAAACAAAAATTGTGATCGATTTCCTAATATAAACATTTCTTTCCTGGAGAGTGCGATCACTCAGGAAGTTCCCTCACGGAAAAGTATGCCGTGTTTACAGGGCAGGGGATTCGCATAGAATGATAAACAATGCAAATTATGAGCGTCAAGCAGCTTAAAATAGCACAACCACTGGCTTGCTACGTGGATTCCTGGTTGGGACTGCGGGAAGATATATGGGACCTCATTTCTCTTTCTTGATTTGGAGTTCTCGAAGGAAAACTGCTTTTAAAGGGAGAAAAAAATCTAAAAGTGCTCTCGCTCTTTCCTTGCCAAGGATAGTGAAATTAACATGCAGCTGGGCTCCTCTGATAAATGGATTCCGTTAGGTCACTGAGGGGGTGCGTGTGACATTAAGTGATTTACAGTCCTTTACCTTAATGAAATTGTTTCAGCAAGATGACGCTGAAAGCCCTTAATGGATAGCTTTTCTTGATGTAATGAAATTGCATTCCTATGGCATTTAATATAAGGTGCAGTTATTATTTACAGGAGCCTTCCAAGGGCTGCTATTTGCACAGACAGTTCGGAACAAAAAGAGATTTCAGTGGCGGCATGGAGGCCAGCATGGCTCGTGACATTCTTCAGCAGAGGAGTGTGTCTGGGAGAGCATTTCGGTCCCTGCAGGCAGGGCTTTCCTAGACCCTTGAAGAGACTCCCTTCCTCTCACCCTGCAAGTCTTCAGCCTTTTACACACATTCTTCCCTCCGTTTCACAGGCAGCTGGATTACAACCAGATCAGCTGTATCGAAGATGGGGCGTTCAGGGCTCTCCGGGACCTGGAAGTGCTGTAAGTGTCTCTGATTTCTTACTCCTCACTGGAGCTTTGTGTCGGGGGGATGCTAATGTGGAAGCTTATCTGTCAGCTTAAAACCCGGGGTCAGAATGATCTCCTAAAGAGATGCCTTACTAACTGACAGTGAAAACAGGGAAGAGTCCAAATGTGTGTGTGTGCAAAATCGTATGCAGAGCTATATGTTAAGGTAACATTGTCCATGTAAGAGGGACACGCAAATGTGCACACGTAATGTCCTTGAAGTGTCTCTGCTTATGATAAACTATTCTTATTCACGGGATTTGTGGGAATTCCTAGGATTGCTAAGTCATAAGATAACATCAGTTGTATAGGAAAAGGCACAACAAAAATATAAACCTGAGTAGCTGATACGTGGGTATATGTTGTAGCTGCTATGCAATGGAAAGAAAGATGTTTTTCTCACTGTAAAATATTCTTTTTCAACAGATCACTTGATATCGTTTTTGTAAGGTTCTTTTGAAATTGACATTCTGATTTTAATGAGTGGCCAAGAGGTCCAGTCAAGTCTTTATTACTGACTTAGTAAAGCACAACTTATAGGTCTGAACCATCTGGGCTGACCCGACTGGCTAAATTGGTTAGAAGCAACTGAGTAATCTCTACAGATCCTTGACTTAGTAACCTGATTTTAATTAAATGACTGATTATAATAAAAATAATTTTAATGACAACTAGAGTTCCTAAAGCAAGGGAAACCGCCTGTCCATTTATGGATTTCTTTTCCAGTCAAAGAAAGCTTTTTACAGCTTTTAAAATATATGTACACATTTCTCCCCCATATGCACTGTTTTACTATGCTCTCATCTATCCCTGACTCAATTTATGCAGAAATCCAAAATTGAACTAAATGTGAAGAAGTTTTGAATTTTTAGTCCAGCTGGTTAAAGTTATCCAGGAATCATAAAAGCCACCTAAAAAAAATAAAATAAAAAGGATTCCATTGCTTTGTAAATTGAGTTTGAGGAACAGGATGTAATTCTGAAAAAAGTGTAATGTTTCGATCAGATGACTTTTTTTAGCAATATTTTCTATATGATTTTGATTTTAATTGTGAATAATTGAATAATAGAGTTTTTAGCTGCATCATGACTTTATTGTAAATTATGTTTAAAGGCTTATGGAAGTATAAGTTTTCTAACCACAGGAGAAGTCATCTTGGTTTGGGTTCATAACAGCCTAACTTTTTCTATAGGAAAAAATATTAAAAGTGCTAATCATACACAGTGTAGTCATAGGCCACCTATTAAATTGTGTTCTAGAGTCAGTTTTAATATATGAAGTTCCCTGATGTTACTAATTCAGAGTCAGAATAATTAGGATATAACTATGGTTTCATGATAGTCCTCTGATGTCAGGACTATAACCAACACCACTAAACTTTGTATTTGAAGAGATTGCCGCAGGAATTATTTAATTCAGCAGAGCTGATAAAGCCAAATAAATTGACACTAAGTCAGTGCTCCTAACTAGGAAGATGAATGATAGCAATGATTTTGTGGAAATTTTGCTGAGTATTTTGGACAAATTTAAATTTCATGATATACTTTCTTATTAAAAGTTTAGATATTTATTAGACACGGAATAATGTATATATAATATATTGAGTATATGTTGAGTGTTCCATAGTGACAGAAAGAATATAAATAATATGTGTATTTTAAAATATTTACATATTTCTATGGAGAGAGAGAATATGTCAGAAAGAAAACCTGCTATGTGCCAAGCACTGTGTTTGGCATTAAAATTCCGCTACCAATTCATACAACAACTATTAATTTGCTTATTGGTTGCAAATTAATGTAATTGCTTTCAGAAACAGTCAATTCATGAAAATACAGTCACCTCATTTATTGTATGTGCCGTGTGAGCAAACTATCTAAAAAGTGACCATGAGTGCTCGCTTCGGCAGCACATATAATAAAAAGTGACCATGAAAAGACCTCCTATCATAACCACATCAGAGAGTAATAAACATTTGATGGTTTATGGAATTAAAATTGAAATCTAAACTGTTGAAAACTCTTTTGGGGGCCTAATATGTATTTCTCAAAAAGATACAGATTGGACTGAGTTTGTTTGAAAAAAAAAAAAGAATATATAAACTAACACAGAAAATACGCATTTCTTTTTTAAAAATTTAAATATTTTATATTAAAATTTTATGAAGTCAAACACACATTCTTTTACCATATATCAATTTTTTAATTTTTATAATTCATATAACCTTTAGAGAAATTAGTTGATGAATTTAAGGAAAAATTGAATGAAGTACTGAAACCACTGAAATTCATCAAGCCCAAATACCTTCTTAGGTAAATGAGAAGTTCACCTATTATAAATATTTCCTCAGGAGCTTTTTTATTGAATTAACTTCTAAAGGATTTCAGAAAGTTTCTTTTCTGTTTCACTTATTTTTACCAATCATAACTCTTTAGATTAGACTATCTCACTATGTGGGAATAATGAAGGGATATTAATTTGCACATGCATCAATTTCAAGTTCCCAGTGTTTTAGATTTTTTTTTTAATTTTAATTCAATGAACCATTTGTGAATGTTTAAATATACCGAGGCCAAACAAGAAGTTTGGCCTCGGTATATTTGGGAGTGATGATTCAGGGCCAGTGATATATATTGGGAGTGATGATCCAGGGCCAGTGATGGAAATTTGTTAGATTAGGAAGAGAGAGTGGATAAAGCTCAAGAAGGAAAAGTTTAGGTAGATGAAAGCAAGTAGATAGTTTATCATTTGTATGTTCATGGCCTTTTGTGGAATTCTGGTTGGTAAGATATAGAACTTTTTTTTTTTCTAAATATCAAGATACTGTCCTAAAAATAACTTTAAAAATTAAATCTAGATTGATGTTTTGTTTTGTTTTCCTTTGGAGGCTAGACTAGAAATGAAATATATCCCTTCAGTTGCTAGTTTTAGTTTTGTTTTGATTTTTTTCCTATAGAATGCATATAATTTAATTTAATTGAAACACGGTGATTCATATCCATTAAATATCAGGTTCTCTGCCAAATCCTATGCCTGGCACTAAGGGAATAAGAAAAAATAAGTCAAGATGTAAGTCCAAAGGGACTACATAATTAGCAAGACTAACATTTTATATTTCCAACACCAAAATGTCCTTTGTACAAGAGTACATTCTCATTACAAAGAAAGAATTTTGAAGCTGAACACAGAAATGGACTTTAGCATGACCATAGTATTATATAAACATAGCATTATACCTAATTAATACATATTTATTATTAATCTTTAAATATAGTTTCATTGGTTCCAAGTATTGCTCCATTACCAGGTACCAGTATCAAAATTGCTTTGCCGACATAGATACTGAATAAAAATGCTAAGATAATTTATTTCTTCAGTTGCATTATGCAAACTAACATTTTGAGAGAAGACTTCAAATTGATAACCACCAGCATCAGCACTAAGTTAAATTCTGTTTTGTGTGGCATCATAAGAAATTATAGTTTCAAATTAATGTGTGTCTGCTGCATTGAATTACAAAAAAAAAAAAAAAAAAAAAAAAAAAAAAAAAAAAAAAAAACAAACCTTATCCCCCAAGTCACATTTTAGTATGGTATGTACTCTGGAGATTTTTCACTATAGAAAGTCAGCATCAATTTTTAGGGCGGAAAAAGGGGTCACTGGGAAGCAAATCCCTTTGAGAAGTGAAACCTTTTAGTGCAAACATCAGGGTATATTTAAATGGCATTTGAAAAGAAATCTCATTTCACTTGAGTACATGGAAAATGCTACAGGCTTTTAGAGAGCATGAGCCAACCGATTCAATGCTTTCTAGGTCCTGTATCAAGTGGTCTGTTTTTGTACCTCACTATGTGACTTAATTCAAATCACTCGGATTAGTTCTTACATCTTCCCATACATTGCAAAACTGGAGAGCAAAGAGGGTCAGTGCGTGTTCCAGACATGTAACTGCTGTGCCCTGCTTTGCTGAGAAGTTTAAGTTAAACACCTCGCATTCCACCTTTAACAACTGTAGCCACTAGCTGGCTTTACGTGGCCCCACAAATGTACTTTGTTTCACCCAAACGGACTTGGCCCTTGGACTTTTGGAAATATTTGAGTTGGTTGCAGGTATTTACAATTAAAAATTCAGAGGAGTGATCTGAAAATTTTGAACTTGAGCTTCTTGAGAAAATCAGATTCTTCAGCAGCCTTCCATTACAACAGCAATAGTCCCTTGGACCTGGATAGTAACTACAACAGAGAGCCTCGCTAGTTTTCTGGGGCCCTCCTGCTTCCCAGATGTGCACTGCTGCTCTCCTTCTCTCTTCCACATCCTATTTTCATATATCCAGCTTGCTTCCCTCATGTGTGTTCCCTGCCTGACTTCTGTAGGCAAGTGAATTTGCAGCATTTAATTACAACCCTTCTCCAATATCAAAGGTATCCACCTGGGCTATTGATCCCATCTTTTTCGCCTCCATCAGCAACTTGCCCTGTTTAGTCAACACTGTACTAGATGCTAGAGTCATGCTCTGCCTCCACGCTGTCCTCACACACTTCTGGGACAACTGTCTTCACATTTTCTTGTCTCTGAAGAGAGAGAGGGAGAGAAAAAAAGAATTCTTCATTTTATGAGTTCTAAGTTTTTGCAGCTTGAGTAATTCATCTCACCAGTTGGACTATTTGCTATTTTCAGACAGGTTTTATGCCTGATTTATTTTTATAGTATTCCATGTTGTCATTAAAATAAGAGCCATTCAGGAAATACTAGATGAATAAGTGAGGCACAGTAGCAATAGAAATAATAATAACAAACTAACAATACTTGTTAGGGGGAAAGTAGGAAAAATTTGAGCCAAGAAAGAGTTATGCTTATTTTCATCATATCTCCCATGACCACCCATCTTAGTCTAGTTTCAGGAAACCATGATTATCACCACATAGCCTTACAATAAAAGGATAGTATCTGTGGCTGCAGCTAAAAACTGTTAAAAATAGTCCTAACAGGTTTGGTTCAGTGGAGAGAGTGTCGGCCTGCGGACTGAAGGGTCCAAGGTTCAATTCCAGTCACGGGCATGTACCTTGGTTGTGGGCACATCCCCAGTGAGAAGTGTGCAGGAGGCAGCTGATCAGTGTTTCTAACTCTCTATCCTTTCCCCTTCTTCTCTGTAAAAAATCAATAAAATATATTTAAATAAATAAAAACTGTTAGAATATATTAAGCTTTTAAAATACTGCTGCAGAAGGTCACTTCATCCTCACCCAAAGGAAATAGCACATATAGAAATCATTATTAGTATTCAGATTTTAACAGTGGCTGATGACTACAGTAAATAATAATCAGCAGGATGTGCTTCAGGATCTGACAGAAACGACTCTGTGACATTGCTATGAGATTTCAGTTGGAGCTTTCAAATATGTTCATTTACTCACCACGCAGCAATTACACATGACACTTCTCTAAGGAAACGTGACTACTTAATGTTTCCCATTGTGACTGTCTCAGGCTTGTTTGTCATAAACAGACATGCATGCAGGTACAGGTGCATCAAGCAACATAGACAGAGTGAAGGTACTGTGGCTAATGCCATACATTTGTAATAAATATTTTGTAAAGCTGAATGCATACTGCTACGTTAAAATATACTATCACTTATTTATCATCTTGTTTATAATATAGTAATTCTCTATGCCATCTCAATGAGTTGTTTTATATAAACATAATCACTACAAGTTTACTTTACTTTCATATATAGAATGATTAATTATTTTCTATCTGAAGTCTTTAATTATTTTCTTTTATTCTACAGCACTCTCAACAATAACAACATCACCAGACTTTCTGTGGCGAGTTTCAACCATATGCCTAAGCTTAGGACTTTGTAAGTAGTCATAAGATATATAAAGGTCAATCTAATCAATTAAGGATGCCCCTTGAGTCCTATTTTTAGTAAGCAAAGAACCAGTAGTTCATTATGGTGTAGACAAGGAGAGCACCGGTTTTATTAAAGTTCTAGAAATGATAGTTAAGTAAATTATTCTGAAAACTTGAAAGCTCTATTTTAAATGAGATGTGTTCTGGGAAGTTTACTTTGAGCTATTGTGGAGGTCACATTTCATTAAGAAATGGAAGACTCCTTGATTGGCTGTCAGAAATGATAAATTATAAATCTTTATGTTTTTATTACTGGATGTCAAGCAGACCTAATAAAGCTAAACTAGCTCTCCAACATTCTTTGTAACATAAAATTACAGCATCCCCTCCTAGTGGTTCTATAATTAAGATTTTGTCAGCATTTCTCTTTAAAAGTATCTTTTCAGGGGTTACAGAAGGACATTACAATATTTTAGGTGAATAAAAAGGTTCTCTAATAAAGTATTTGCTATAGCTATGTGACTTTTTTTTCTCTTGGAGAAATATTAATCCTTAAGCTCAGGGTGGGGATATTTATTCAAGCATTTTCAGAGATGAATCTCATTTGAACTCAGTTTCAGAATCACCTTGACCTAAAAAAATGCTGTATTATATACAATTATGTGAGAAATAGCCAGAAACATAACGAAAACATGGGACTTTTTGGAAAAGTATGTGTTCTTAAATAGGGGACATCTATTTTTACTGGCTTTTCAAAATATGTTTTTTATTTTATAACAGCTGGTAACTGGAAACATTTATTTTATGTTTGAATAAAAATCAATTGAGTTGTCAGATTTTTAATAATTAGGCAATATCAATCTTAATGTCACTTTTTTTCTTACGAAAGTGTATCTCTGTATATAATGTTCCATCTTTATAATTTCCTTGGAATATCATTTAGCAAAAGAAAAGAATTCTGAAAGTACGCGCATATAACTAAATGCTGTTTCCTCGGGGCTATCAGATTGAGACTAATCTGTCCAAATGAACAGCCCAGTTCCCTCAAACTATATTTAATGAAATTGGTTTCTCATTAAATTTAATTTTTAAAGAACAATTTGATTGAGCCTTTCTTCTCTGCAAAATAAAGCCACTCAAGCTGTAAACTCAGCCATCATCTGCATTTTTGATAGGGTGCCTCATTTTCCTGAAGAGATGCACGACAGTCCGTCTTACTAATCAGTCTTTTCCATTTTTATCTTCCTTTCGTATATCTCGGGTGCCCTTGCAACTGAACCTCGTACTGGGCGTGGTTCCGATGAAAATGTTTAGAGAATGATGATGTGGGATGTGCCACCTGGCTTCCAAAGGATGCCTCTCTGATTCCCACTCAGACTGAGCCAGGTTGCCCACCTTCCCCACAATGTAGCTTTTGCAGTGTGCTGTCTAGTTTTCATTCAAGGCTCTTCCATATCTACAAGCTCAAGGAGAATGTCAAAGAGCCATCTAACTTTCCGTTGCCTTGCTTTGCTTGTTTCATTATTCTATATCATCATTGCTACTTAGAAATTCCATTTTTATGGTCCAATTATCTTTCTGGACTGAGTTCTGTTTTAATATCCATTACTGTTATTGGGTTAGAATTGAGCACATCAGCTAAAAAGGGCTGAAATGGTATTACCATGCTATAGATGATTCTGGGAACGATGCTTTGATTTATAGCTTTGGATGTCCTTTTCTTTAGTTTGAGAAAAACATAAAAGCCAGTTTGAAGTCATTTACCTAATTTAGTGGATGCATTTGTCTGATGTTTTATTAATGGCACAGTGCTATTTGCCACTTGGAAGGGATCCACAGTCGGGTGTGGATTCCTGCCAGCGCAGAGGGGGCTCACTTAATTCTTTCACTCCCAGCCACTTATGTCTTTTAATTCCAGTTTCTACTCTTTGAGGGTAGGTTCCCAAGAGCCAAATGCAGCTGATCCCTTTTTCTGATATTATACGAAAAGAAGGAAATCAGAATAGAGCCCTGAAAGAAGTGTTTTCTATTTTAATCCTTACCCGCAGATGTTTATCAATTTTAGAGAGAGGAAAGGAAAGAGAGAGAGACAGAGAGAGAGAGAAAGAAAGAGAGAGAGAGAGAGAGAGAGAGAGAGAGAGAGAGAGAGAGAGAGAGAGAGAAGGAAACATTGATATGAAAGAAATGCCCTTCAGGTGCCTCCCATATTCACCCTGTCCAGGATCAAATCTTCCACCTTTCTGATGCTCCAACCAACTGAGCCACCTGTTCAGGGTGAAAGAAGTGTTTTATATTCATCTATTCTTTCTTATTGAGCAAGATTTGAAAGTGATCTGCTTAAAATATTTTGCAAGCAGTTCCTGCTGAGACTCACTAATAATTCAAACTGGGAGCCACCAGTTTCACTAACCTGCCTCCTAGCCTTACCCCTGCTTTGTCTGCCCACTCCCCAACACCAGCCGGCTATCAGTATAGCAGCACTGTAGAGCCATTTGCCTTAGACTCGTCTCTCTTTGCTGTTTTGAATGAACCTAGGCAAAAGATTCTCATGGTCATGTTCCAGTTTCCACATACTTACTTAGCTCACTGGTAAAAGAAGAGAGACTCCATGCTGTGGTTGTAAACCAGCTACATTTTTAGACAAGTAATCTACTGGCAAGTTGCTAAAGCTTCATCTAATTCTATGATAAAAAAAAAAAAACAACCAAGCTCTACATAGACTGATTAACAAGAACAGACCCAGAGATAAGGAGCCATGGGTCAGACTGTTGGACTCAAAGGGAGGGTGGGGATAAAAAGGAGAGATCTACCAAAGGACTTGTGTGCATACATATGAGCCTAACCAGTGGTCAAGGACAATAAGGGGTGGGGGGCATGAGTAAGGAGGGGTGAGGAATTGGATTGGGGGTTTGATTTATACCTCAATCAATAAAGAAGTTTAAAAAAATGCTCTACATTATTACTGAAGATTTTTCCAAGTTTTGAAATAACTATTTCTGTTTTTTTTGTTTGTTTTTTTGTTTTTTGTTTTGTGTGTGTGTGTGTGTGTGTGTGTGTGTGTGTGTGTGTGTGTTTGCTTTAAATCTCTTGCCTGCCCTTTAGTCGACTGCATTCCAACAACCTGTACTGTGACTGCCACCTGGCCTGGCTCTCGGACTGGCTGCGGCAGAGGCCTCGCGTGGGTCTCTACACGCAGTGCATGGGCCCCTCCCACCTGAGGGGCCACAATGTGGCTGAGGTGCAGAAGCGAGAGTTTGTCTGCAGTGGTAAGGAAGAAGACACCTTCCTGTGGTCTTACTTTGTGCTACACTCAAGGACACTGTGAAAAGCTCATGCTCTCAGGGTTTCGTGTTTCTCACTAATGTGTACGATTGGGTGCTAATCACTCTGTGGAAATCCTCTGTCTTAGTGATGATAATAATATGCTCTAAGACATCAGTGCCTGCTTCATAATTACTGGTTACTTGTACCTAAGGAACGATGAAAGACTTTTTCAGTTTTCACTCCAGGGGAAATATAGGAAATCCCTAGATTTTAGTTCTATTTGCTACTGGTTATTTTCCCTTTAAGTACTCATTTATACCTACTTTTATGTTAACCATTGGAAATATGATTAATTAATCCTGGATCTCTGCTGGGAAATTCAAAAAAATAACTATAGTTGCAGAGTGACAAAATACGTTCTGTGTATACATGTGTACTAGGGATTGAGGTCTACTTAAAAAAGGTAAATGACTAGATTTAGTAACAAAAATCTGAAAACAAAAGTAAGACATGGGCGACATAAAATATCAGTAGGTGACATTTACTTAGCACTTTCCATCTACTTAAACACCAATCCAAGTATTTCACATATAGTTACCTCATTTCATCTCACTCAAAACAATTGTAGGGAAATGTAATATCTAAATTGCTGAGAAAAATATAATAAGTAACCTTGTTCAAGGTTATATAGTTTAACCCAAAGATCTCAACCCTAGGAAGTCTGATATCCAATCCATGGATAGATAGATAGGTAGATAGACATTTATATATATTTATAAAATTATATGTTAATTTTGGGGGCAAAAGTAGATTTACAGTTATGAGTATGCCTAACACAATTTATTCTTATATTATTATTTATTAATTATTATATTATTTTCCATACAAAAACTATAAACTTATTTTGCCCCAATTTGTATTTTATTGATCCATACTAACATATAATTTCCCTTATAAATATAGGGCTGATTCGGTTTTAGAACTGACTATTCAACAAACAATAAAAGCCATTTAATAATATATATCATCATCATCATCATCATCATCATAAATGGTTACCAGTTTCTTAAAGGAATGGGAAGAGATGCCAGTATAGGATTCCATGTCATTGTTACCTTTTAGTCCTCTTATGTACTTTCCCGCACATTTTATAACCCACACAAAATTTCCTTGTGATGTCATGGAATGTTCTCAGTAGGCCTGGTTGAATTTTTTTTTTTAATTACATAATGAAATGACTCACAATTTGTCACTAATCACTTTTTCTCTCTTCACTTTTCCCTCCCTGTTTTCTAGATGAGGAAGAAGGCAAGTTCATGTTTCTTTTTTAGTCTGAGAGTGCGTTTGTGGAGTCTGAGAGATTGTTGGGAGGGACGGGGTTAGGAATAGCGTATCTCTGCCATGCGGGTGCCTTCCCTGCAGGCCCGAGAGGGCTGTCCCTGCTGCGGAGGCCAATGTGTGCACCTGCCCATTTGCTAAAATACTGCTGACACTGTTGTGCATCCTTCAAACAATAAAATCTCATTTCAAAACAATTTTGTTTTCATATAATGAGTAGTTAAATTATATACCTGAGGGAAACTACTTATGCTAACATTTTAGGTCACAGGAAGCCAAAAAATAAAGCATATCAATTAATAATGTCAGAGTGACATGTTACAAATTATTATAATAGCTCCAAAGAAAATGGTCATTTTGAACCTATTCAGATGTTAAACTAAGCATGAGCTAGTTTCCCCCCACATATATTGCCACATAATTACTTATTTAAAATCAACATGTCTACCAAGAGGGACATTTTATTTTTAAGGTAAAATAAGTTAAGCTATATAAGTTTAGTAAAGACCAAGCTCTATTTAAGCTTATTAGAAAATGAAATATAGACTAGTGTGAAGTTGCTGAATTTTTGGAACACAGAATAGTTTTGAATAGAATTTTACGTTCAGAATCTAAATTTAGCCTTTCTCACCATGATAATCAAGTCTTACACTTATAATTGATATTAGAGGCCCAGTGCGTGAAATCCGGGCCCTCAGGGGTCTCTCAACTTGGCCTGTATCCTCTTGCAGTCTGGGAGCCCTCAGGGGATGCCTCATTGATGTCTTAGGCCCCATCTCTGGGGAAACAGGCCTAAGCTATCAGTTGGACATCCTTAGCACTGCTGCAAAGGTAGGAGGGGCTCCCACCACCACTGCTGTGCTCACCAGCTAGGAGCCCGGCTCCTGGCTGAGTGGTGCTCCCCCGGTGGGAGCACACTGACCACCAGGAAGCAGCTCCTGCATTGAGCATCTTCCCCCTGGTGTCAGTGCATATCATAGCGACCAGTCTTTCCATCATTTGGTCAATTTTCATATTAGCCTTTTATTATATAGGATGATTCCTTTTAAAAATCTCATTTGCTTCATCTGGATGTTTATCCCCAAATTATATAAATGCATGCTTCCTAAAATATATTTTATAAATAAGAGACCATTTTATAATCAGATATATAGAGAAATGCTTTTGACATGCTTTTTTTGTTATTTGCGATAGGCTTGCATGTCTCACAATTATGACTTTCAGGAGGAAGAATATACTTGCTGTTTATATTGTGTTTTGTTTGTTCTTTTAGGTCACCAGTCATTTATGGCTCCTTCTTGCAGCATCTTGCACTGTCCAGCCACTTGCACCTGTAGCAACAATATCGTAGACTGCCGTGGGAAAGGTCTTGCAGAGATCCCCACGAATCTGCCTGAGACCATCACAGAAATGTATGTGACCTGAAACTCCCTCACAACTTTCCCTCCCCAGGGACCCAGACCCTGACTTTCCTTAGGAGAGTCTGGGTTTATCAAAGGCAGATCTGATCAATTAGCTTAGACAAATGTTCCTTTCAGAATGGTATTGACCCTCACTCTGTTTAATTAAGTATCTTGTCAAAGTGGCTAAGATTTGTCTTTTTTAAGCACAGGGAGAAAGAAAAGGAATGTGTTTTAAGGAGAAATGGTGTGTTTCCTTCCCTTGAGAAGGGGTTATTGGGCTATTTAGGGAAAATAATTAGGGATTTACTAGTCTGACCGTGTGGGTCTGCCCTAGTTTGTTTCGAGCCCTGAGTGGCGGGAAATAAGACAGCTGGGGTAATAAATCACAGAAACAGGATGGCTGGATGGTGTTCAGCCTCCTCAAAAAGAGCTCACATTTTAAAAAGCAGTTTAGCTGTCGTGTGTGAACTATTGTGTAATCCGCCACAAAGTATAAAAAAGGGCAATAATATAAGTCAAAAATATAAGATTCTTAAGTTAGGGAGCATTTGAGCCTACTTGGGTTGTTGTTAAAGCCATCAGAAGTTAAGTCCCCTTGACAAAGTAGTTCAGACCTGTAGGTACGCAGCTGCAGTGAGCATTTGTCCCTGCCAAACAAAGGTCACGTGCAGGAAGCAAGGCCACGTGTGACGTCAGAGGGGCTGTTTTAGCCAGCTCGAGCAGTAAACCTGAGGGAAAATCTTTGCCTTGGTATTCACTCACTAAGAAAGCACCTCTTAACCACCTGGGGGTCATATTATTGTTTTAGAAGCCAGTTCTAAATTTTAACTAAACAAATAGCACTGGACATTTTTGGCTGAAATAATAAAGTAGGACAACTTCTTGTAATAAATCTTCATTGTAGGCACAAAAAATTTGAGTTATTTTTCAGAAATATTTACTTATTAAATCATTGTCATTCTTTAATAATTTATTGGGATAACATTGATTAACAATGTTATATAAATTTCAGGTGGACAACTTTATAACAAAACATCTCTATTCTCTATTGTGTGTTCACCACCAGAAGTCTAGACTTCTTCCTTTTGTTTTTTTAATTTTTTGCCAATTCACTCTTCTAATTTATTTATGTGAGAATAAACTTAGTTTACAAGACCCACCATCACTATTTTAAAGTATATAATGTGTGCCTAAACATGTGCTTGCAGCCTTGCTGTCTTAGGGAACTCTGGAATTTACGGAGATTTGACCCAGACATGGGATAATGAAGGCACATATTATCCCTATCCTATTTTTGATTGATGGGACACTGCCTTGCATAGAAAACATATGTATAGTGTTTTTAGCTGAACCTGTAAAGGAGAAGAATATGTGGTTTTTGAAGAGGTGGGTGACATCACCCAAATAGCAGGAGCCTAGGGCAGCTCTGTGTCGGAGTAATCAAATGCCAAAAAACCTTAACCATCTTTTTTTCTTTTTTAATTCTATTTTGTGCTTCCATCTATCATTAGACACTTCTGGTATTTGCTTTAAAAATATTTGTTAAGCTATTGAAGGGAAATAGTCTTTTAAAGTCAGAATTGAAATAGCTTGGAGAAGGAAGAATAGAAAGAAACTAACATTTGTCCAATACCCACAATGTTGGATATTATACCCACATTATATCAATTTTCTCATTGACTCCTGTGGGGTGTATTTGGAAAAAACTAGTGCAGAGGCAAATGTTAGGTAAAGGTTGGTAGTTTCCTCCCAAAGGCCTCATTATCCTGGTGATTTTACCGAGACCCCATTTGTGCTCTCCCCTTTGTAGGTTAGAAATTGAATTTTGACTGCACCTATTCATTCCATGTTGTAATTACATGTGTATTTGTGCACTTGTTCCTTTTCCCTACTAAAGTCAAGGTTATAATGAAGACAGGAACTGATTCTAGTCTAATCACCACATATACTAGTCCTCCTCCTTCCTTAGATATAATACTCACTCCAGTCTTCTTACAGATGTCTTAGGCATCTTCCTCTAAGGGTGCATTCCCTCCACCAGGAAGCCATAAACACTTGCCTCACAGGCCTAAAGGCTGCCAACCTCATTTGAAAAAGTTGGGGCTCAAAACAGTTAGGAAATCTTGTAAAACAGAAATTCTTCCATTGCTAAATGGCTAACCTGGCCTCCATCTTAAGTTTATTTGCCTCCCTAGCCCATGTCCCTTTCTTTATCCAGCTGCCAAAGGAAGGTAGGCATGACTCAGCTTATTGGGACAGTGTACAGGGCAGTCATTGAAAAAATCAGGAGAGAGAAAAAAAAAACAGGACATTAAGAACTTTAAGAAACACTTCAATAGAACATGGAAGAGGCATATGGAAGGCATTCAGGTACAGGGATGCTTGCAGAACTGAGGGCTGTCTCAAACTGCTTCATGCCTAGAACTGCTGTAATGTCATTGTCTTGTTCTACTTTAAGCATTCTCACTCCCTCTGACTTTCCTTGGCACAGAACTTCTCTTGCTTTAATTTGATATTTTCAATCATGTCACACTATTCTATTAGACTGCAAGCTTCAGGGGGCAGGGCCATGTTTCTCTCCTCACCATTTCTGCCCCACCACTTAACATCATGTAGGTAGGGAGAACAGTGCTGGGAAACCCAGCTGGATACATCCCAACTCCTGTACGACAAAGGAATTTGGACTAATGAAGACAGAAGGGGAAAATAGAATGTGGAATATAAGGTGAAATCAGGTTGAAAAGAAGAAGCTGTTGCTAGTCCTTTGCTCTGTTGATCTCTGCTTGTGGAAATCTAGTTTTCATTCAGATGGAAGGCCAGAGGCAGGCCGTGTCTGAACCGGCCTGTGGCAACAAATCATTAATAGCAAATTGATTTGGTGTATATCAAATCCTCAGAATTAATTTCTTAAATCACATTTCAAGGTATAAAATTACAAATACAATGTGATGGATGGCTATAAAGGAGACATTTAGTCCTCTTCAATCCGGTTATAGATTTTCTGTGGCATGTCACCTGTTCAAAGCATTATACAGAAAGTCCATACATCATGGGGAATAGTTAGTAAGAACATAAGTTGTAACAATTTAAAATATCTCCGTGACTCTTGATATCTACTGGCTTTACTCTTGGTTGCCTTTCTTAGGGCTCAGAAGCCAAGAGCCCTACACTTCTGTGTTGCTGCTGCTGCTGTTGTTGGTTTGAGAAAGATGGTCAGGGAAGAGTTCAAATCATGGGACGGGGAAGAATGTAGCAATGTTGTCAGAACATTAAGTGTTGTTTCAATGTTTTCTGAGATGGATTGCAAATTCTCATAGACTAGAACTGTCTTCAGACATGCCATTCAAATAGATATAATGGAAACTCATTTTCCTGTGTACCCTCACTGGACTACTCTTACTCCATCAGTAATAAACACAGCTGAAGAGGAGTCATAATGATGGAGCGGATACGAGTGAGGTTTGGGAGTCCTTTTGTCCTTTTACTAGTAGTTTCTTCTGGGCCACAGGGATGCATATATATAAAGAAGTGGCAGTAAGAATAATTCATGAATGATATATCTGACCACAGCCTCCATTTGTGATACTAAATATAACTTTTAAAATGTACATTTATTTCTTCATTTTTGTTTTTGTTTTGTTTTGTTTTGTTTAGACAAGTTTACCATATACTTTTAACCACTTCTGCATGCTATTGCTAACCTAGCTCTTTCCAAAATTTTGAACTCTTAATTCTTTAAAAGTCTATATACTAATATATATATATATATATATATATATATATATATATATATATTACTAATATATATATATATATTTGTAATACCTTTCACCCTCTTCACATCTCCCCCCAGAGTGCCGACTCTGTATTCAGCATTGCTCAATTTCAGCCTTCAAAATGTTTAACCTGCAGAGAATTGGAGTTTTAGATAGAAATTTTTAAACTATATTATAAGTCAAAAAAAGGCATGTGCACAGGGAACACAGAGAAAGGAACCCCTGGGATTGATTGCCTGGGAGTATCAGGGAATCTCCTTTCTGAAACAGAGAAATGGAGGCCTTTTTAGACAGGAAAGAACATGTGCAAAGTCCCAATCAAGTGAGAGGAGTATGTATTTGAGAAATTAAGAGTTTTAAGATGCTAGAACATAAAGCAGAAGTCTAGTCTTGCAGAAACACCTGTCTGGATGACAATAGGATACAAGAAAGTGTGAGCAGGGTAGTAGCATGGTAGATGTATTAGAAAAATCTCCTCCGTGGAGTGGAGAGTGGTTTGGAGGGAAGGAGCCCAGTGATAATGTGATAACAACAGCCTGTCTATGGCATAATGAAGGCCACGTAGCAGCAGGCAGTGATGGGAGGAAACTCCCAGAAGTGGCCCTTGTGCTGTCTGGTAGTTTCCTAAAATCATCTACAGGGAAAAGTGGGTACTATCAGATGTAAAATAAGGCTGGGTAGCTGAAACAGGTTTGGCTCAGTGGATAGAGCGTCAGCCTGCGGACTGAAGGGTCCCGGGTTCGATTCCGGTCAAGGGCATGTACCTTGGTTGTGGGCACATCTCCAGTGGGGGGTGTGCAAGAGGCAGCTGATTAATGATCTCTCTCATCTATGTTTCTAACTCTATCTGTCTCCCTGCCTCTCTGTAAAAAACAATAAGTTATAAAAAAGACTTCCCTAAAAAAAAAAAAAAAAAAAAAGACTGGGTAGACTTCAGCATAAAAATAAAGGCAGCTGAAGTATAGTCAAAGTATTATTCATTCTCAGACTAATGAAAGTCTTTTATTTTTTAGGAATTAAATTCTAGATTTATATTATATAATCAGCTGGGAAAATTAAGTTGAAAATGTATGTAGTAGTTCAAATTCCACTAGCAATCATGGTGCCATCTAACTTTAGGAGAAAAATAATGGATAACTTGGATAATAACTCAGGGTGGGGAGAATGCAAACTGCTACCCACTCATTGAGTAATATTATCAAATAAGTGATATATAAAGATAATTTGCATAAT